CTTGCAGTTGATTCATATTGACTCGAGTGTTTGAGAGTTGAATTTTAAGGCTATGTACGTAGACGAGCAGGGAATTGAGACTGCATGGCTACTAAATCTATAGCTGTGTAACACTTCCAGATTCTCTCTTAGCTTTAAGCTCAGAGAACACTAACCAGGGCAGTGTGCCCATCTTAAGAGATAGATGTACATGTTGGAGGAAATTGCTTTGTGTTGCAAGGGATTTAATAAACTTACGTCTTCCATCATGCTTAATCTTCAATTTAGCTTAGCAGAGGAGAATCAGAGAATATAAACTCAGAATATTACCAAGCAAAACAGAATCAGCAATCTCCCATTGCCATCATTTGAAATAAAAGATCTAGAGTCTCAAACATGGGTGAGCGTTTAACAGAGGAGAATCGGAATTTCTCATACTACCATTTGGATTATAACCATCAGCGACAGAATAAACCCCATTAACCATGCGTCAAGGCAGTATGAATATGGAGCCAATCATGATCATCCCTCATCAGAGATGATGGATGCTACATCCCTAATCTTCCATGTGCTGAGGTTATTCTGCGTCTGGGGTAGATAAAATCCCCCCGACTTCAAGTTTAGTGGAGTATGACGGGATGGATATAAAAAGAAAATACTTGATTAAAAAAAACATGAAGTTGTCAACCAGAAGATAAAACCGAGATAAGAAAGCACCATCAATATGAGAAGCATAAATCTTGAATTTGAAAAGGGATACGCATCTCAAACAGAACGTCAGGTGCAGTAGAATCCTGAGGCCATTTTAAAAACAATAGCAATGCTATGAAGACATAGCAGAAGAATTTGAGAGCCTAAGGCACTCACTTTGACACCTCTTAAGACAAATGTCATTCCAATTAGGCACTTGATGTTGATTAACACAGACAGTCCGGGCACAAGCATCAGCGCAAGCATCTAGCTCAGAAACACCGCAAACAGTCACACAAGTATCAGGAGTTGGGTCTTTAGAAAATGCGCCAACCTTCTTCAGCATCCTCTTCGAAGTACACACCCTCTCACAAACAAATATTTCATCTGAGCTCTTTTCGCGACCCCGAGCACTCTTTAACCTCTGCTCGTCCGCTCGCCTGTTCTTCATCCTGAAAGCCTGCCCTGCAACCACAGCTGGTATTGCAGCCGCAACTATAGACCACCACCAATCCACCATTTCTAGATAATTGCTCAACCGCTACACTTCATGCTATCATAAAACCTTTATAGCGAAAAATAGGAGAAAGAGGGGAAGAAAAGGTAAATCCATCAAGAAAGGTCTTATTTTTATTTAAAATATGGCAAACTACATGACTTTTCTCCACAAAATTCAATTAGCGTGTCACCAAAGAGACGCACCCTGACCAAGAATTCTTTTGTTCTGCTTTTTCAATAAAGGAAACGCAACAGCTCAATGATTCTGATAAGAAAGTACAGAACATAATTTTCAAACATTGATCTTTATTAGTCAAATTCTATCTCCCTTTCCTTCAAATGCCATGTATTTCTTACCCTCCACAAAACCCTTTCATTACAAAATGATATAAATTTGTTTTGAAAATTTTATAGCATAATAACCACTTCCACAAATAGTACACCATTTTCAATCATTGCAGCAGCTTACATTCAGGCAATCTCACTTCTTATCTTCAAGCAGGGAAATGGAAAGAGCAAAAGCCATACATAGGAGCATCAAATATGCATAAAAGCCTGTTATTACTCTAGATAAACTATAAGCTTATCAATGTTCCAGAAAAATTCCATAACTAAGTGATTGCATAAGCTTAAGATAAAGGGAATCAGGGCAATAAAAATGAATAATTCTTTGACCAAGGAAAAATGATATGATGCTGAGTCTCAACGAGAGCACTATCAAAAAAGAAAAAGGAGAAAAAAAAAACCTCATTGGAAGATCCTCTTTTTGGTAATCAACATTATAAAATTACTAGCCCATGTTATCCGGAATTAAATACGGAGAAAAACAGGATATACAAGACAATGAGATTATACCAAATGGCTGTTGAAATATGTAAGCATGTGAATATAAGCTCAAACACGTAATAAGAATAAAACCCTACAGATACAAAGATTTTGCCAGTCAAAAGAAATTCAGAATTCAATATTCAATGCTGCAAAGCTAAAAATCGAAGGGAAGGAAGAGAAAAAGAGCGAGCCTTTAGTTGTTACCTTCTGGACTGAAGAACCCACTTCGAGAAAATCAGAGAGGGCCAAGGAGAGAGCACTTGGAGCAGGGGTGAACCGGTGAAGGGTTTTACAGATGGGGAGGAGAAGAAAACAGACAAAAACAGAAGCAAAGATAACGGGACGGCGTAGTTTCTTTTTGGAGGTACTAACATGCCCCTCGACAAAACATGTTTCTCACTTTGCCCCATGATAGGATTTTCAATATTTCTCAATTGACACAAACAACCCAATTGGGAAGCTATATATCAAATTGAATACTTAAACTTTGTCATGTAATTTTAAGTGTGTTTGGATAGTAAATTATTTGAGATAATTTTGTGAAAAAATACTGTAGCACTTTTTTGATGTGATGTATGTGAGATAAATAAGGTGATTAAAAAATATGTTGATAATACAAATAAATCAGTGTGTGTAAATAAGATAGAAATAATACGTGTACCAAATATACTCTTTGTTATAAGATTATAGCAGTTCAATCAACTTAAACATTATAACTTAAGTTACATAAATAGTAGGAACTATAAATGTGGGTGGGGAAAACAAATTTTGTCAAGTGCAGGCCTTGTTTGGACAGTCATTTTCTAAAGAAAAATTGCTACGTTTTCGGTGAACACGTTTCCCAATCACCTTTTTACCTCACATATATTAAATTGTTATAGTATTTTTTCTACAAAAGATCTAGAAAAATGCAATCCAAACTTAAGCCAAGTTTTTTGCCAAGTTTGTCTGCTACAACTTTTTTAAAAACTTTACCTACAGTAATCTCAAAAAAATTTTCAAAGTTTTTAAATAATACACTTCAAAATATTCAAAAAAAAAACACACTTCAAAATTTTTTTAAAAAACTTCTACAGTAAACTACAGTAAAATTTTAGACAAACACCCAAAAAACTCACCTTTTAAATAGGGCCTTAATTCTTGACCTTGAAAGTAGCAGTACTTTATACAAATAACTTTCTAACCAGTTGTGGACTAATTAGTTAGTTAGACACACTACTTTTGTTATATGGGATGCTTTAGTTAGATTAGTCAACTAGTTACAACTAGGAGTGTGCAAATTCGAAAAATTTCGATTTACCGACCGATTTCGAATTGAATTCGAAACTTCGAATTCGGAATTTCAGTAATTCGGAATGGAATTCGATAATTCCAATTTCGAATTGGTCGAAATCGGATCGAATTCGAAAATATAATTTTTGAAATCGTAATTACGGATTTCGAATTGGGGAATTCGAAATCGGAACTGTTATTTTAATTTCGAATAATAATATTTATATATAATATAATTTTTTTAACAATACATATATAATATATATTATATAACATAATAAGTTAATAACAATAATACTGATACATCTAACAATTGAAATTGCAAAAACCTAATCTGTTAACTCTTGTTACTCTTCGCCACCTCTTCCTCATCGTCTCTCAAGACTATCTCTCACCTTCCTTCCTCCATCTCTACCGCCTCCACCGCCTGACTCACTGTCTCACCTTCCTTCCTCCGTCTCCGACTCACTGTGATTTCCTACTTCCTCAACTTACTCTCTCTCACTCTCAGTTTCACCTCCATCTTCACGCCACATCCATGCTCCTGCCAGAGAACCTTTGTCGGCGAGAATTCCGAAGCCTAGGCTGGCGGAAAGGAGGCATACTCAGGTTCGCCGGGACAATCAACTAAAAGAGGTGATACCGCATACGAAACGAGTTCCAAACCGCTTCGTGGGACGAGTCTAAAAGAATAAGCTGAGGCCGTCGTATTGAAAGAAAAAGGCCTACTCAGTGGGCCGAAAGGGCGATAGACTACACCCAGAACAGAGGACAGGGTTGGTATATTTAGAGTATCTCATTTACTTGCGATCGGATCGGTAACCAAAAGCAAGCTTGAAAGGGTGAGGGTGCCCTTGACTTTAAAGAGCCGGGACTAGTTTTGGGCGATGAAGTTGACGGCATCCCTGGCGGTGAACAAAGGACGTCCATAACCGTCGTCGGCGGCAAGCATTGCAGCGTAAAGAGCTCCAATGCCAGTGTCGGTGATAAGATTGAGGAAATCGGCAATGCGAGATTGGGAATCAGCGGATTTGGCATGGATCTGGTCTTCGAGAAGGATCAAGGAATGAGCGGCGAAGATGGCAGAGGGGGAGCCGACTCTGCCGCCGTCGATACTGAGAATGTGAGTCTTCTTGGGGGGTTGGCAGTGATGCAACCACTGTTGCTCGAGCTTGGAGAAGATTTCCAGCGTCACTTTACTCAGCTCCAACCCTCCTTCCATTGGTCGTTTCTCTTTGCAGTTTGTACTACTTACTAAATCACAAGTAGCGTAGAGAAAGTTGGAGAAAACGGAGTAGACTTAGACTGGCAGGAGTTTGCAGTGGTCGGTGAGAGTGAAGTAGAATAGCAATAGACCGAGAAGGGAGGAAGTGCAGTAGACTAAGAGTAGAGTAGGTTTGAATTCGGTGAATTCGAAATTCGGGTATCGAATTCGAAATCGGAATTGGCCATTTCGAAATCGAATTCGGTCGGAAAAATTCATGTCAAAATTTCAAAAAATTCCAATTTCAAACTTCCGATTTACCGATTTCGATTTCGATGCACAGCCCTAGTTACAACTTTATTACGTTACATGTACATCTTGCATAGAACAATAAAATTGGAGATTCTTCGGCAAAGGAAATCAACATTTACCCACAAATATGTGTTCACCATTTTTAAACATGAAGTTGAAAAAGAACAAATAATAGACTTAATAATAATTTTCAAGTGTACATTTTCCAACTCTAGGTCACAAATAATGAATTTTATGACAAGCTCGTTTTATCGTGCTCCCGTGGGTAGCTCGGTTGGGATTGATCATTTATAATTACAGTAAGGTCTCAGATTCGATCCCCATGTGCTATTGTTGCTGGGCATATTTGGGGCGAAACTCTGCCCAACTAAGGGATTAGTCTGGGTAATTTTGGATACCCATTTAGACCCGAAAAAAAAAGCTGTCGTTTCATCACAATAATAAATATACATGCATCTCCCGTTACAAAATCATCATACTGGAAGGCAATTTAGGAGCGCTCGGCAATGGGAAACCATAAAAAGCTGAGAGAATTGATTTGTTCCATCATCCATGTGAATAACAAGCAAGGCAAGGCATGTGGTTTTTTGAGGGGGTACTTTGTAATTAACTCTTTATCCCTTCTTGTTTTCCTTTTGGCTTTGGTTTCGTTATTAGGACCTGGGAGACATTGAAGGGAAAAAGTCGTCCAAGGTCTGGGAACTCTCATTTCTGCGCAAGTGCTGTTGTAAATTGGCCACATTTGTTTCACTCCCCATTGTCTCCACTCTCCAACAAGAAGTGCAGATTATACGGAAAGAGTTTTGAGTTTTTTGACAGCTAACATCTGAAGTTTTTCTGGACTCTTTTCACTTCTACACGTAAGTTAATTTATCCTTTTTCTTTCCAATATTCATAGTTATTATTTGGAAATGGGACTTGGGGACTGGGGAAATTAGAAGGGGCAGGAGGATTTCTTGAATGTTTTTCTTGTTTCTTGGTTCATTTCTTTTGATTTTGGTTGTAGTTTGATTAATTTAAGATCGATGAAAGCCAATACTGCTTGGTTACCACTGGGTTTAATCCCCTATTTTTTGCGATTGTGTCGATATGAACGCTCTGGGCTAAAATGTGGTCTCTCAGTGCTGTTAATTGGAGCATCTCCTGTGTTAAATTAACTGCTGACTTTCAATTTCTGACAATTCACAGCTGATGTTGTTAACTAAAAGTATTAACCCTTGAGCTGCAGCGGAAATGATTTTATTGCCTTGTAATAATTTAGCTACAATTTGTGGTCCTACTAGATTTTTGATCTTTGATTGTTACTGAAGTGCAATGCTGGACCATTGGTATATGTTCGTAGTTATGCAGGGGCATTCAACTGCTCTAACATGACAATGTCTTTTTTGCCTTTTTTTGTTTTAATTGTTGAGAATTTGCAGCTTTCCAGCAGACCTTGATATTGATATCTGTCCATTTCATGCTAGTTCCAACAACTGGATGTACCTAATGTAGAGTAAAGTTTTCATGCTTCGGAGTTTGAAAATTGCCTTTACCTCTAGACATCTCTGATAGTCTTGGCATCTCAATATCCTAGATTTGAGGAAATTGTAGAACTTGATACCTAGAACCATTAGGCATTCTCATCCTGAAGACCTGCACTGAGCATGTGCAACAAAGATCTTTACTTTATGCAGCGGTTCTTTGAGGATGTGAGTGGTTGAAATGCTTGAAGCTATAGTGTTGCATGGGCAGCCATTCTGTCATGTGGATGTGATTGACGGTAGGGGTATATTTTTCAATGCATTTGTGTTTCAAAATAATGCACTCTTAAATGCTATTTAATGTAGATATATGGATGATAATGATTAGCCGCTTTTGTATATTGAAAGGGAAGATATAAGATACATTCAGTTTCCTTATATTGCATAATGCAGTCTGTTGATATCTAGTATGACCTATTATTGCTCTGTACAGCTTGAATTGCTTTAAGTACGATCAAATACTTGAAAAACCTAGATGTCAGTAAATTTTCTTGCAGTGTGATGTCTATTGTTGATCTGATAACGTGCAACTCCATATAGCAATGTGCATGAATGCAAAATTGATCATTCAGTTGCAGACGCTAAGATAAACTAAGGGCAAGTAACAGATTTTCTGTTGGAAAAATAGATGAGAGAGCGACTACTGTTTTTCAAATCTCGCAAGAGTTATCATTCTGGCGATTTTGTTGGTTCAGCTCCATATTCTTATTACAAAAAAACCTTAGTTCTCCTGCATTTCACAAATAAATGTTACTGCCAGTGAAATTAGTACATTCTGTATCTTGCAAAGAACAAAAGTGAGTCATATTTTTACTTCATTTGATGGTAGGTTGATGAAGGCACTGTAAGTGGAAGATGTAAAGGGAAGTGGAGAAAAACAGGTGGAGATCTCATTCCACTGTAAGGACACTACAAGTTGGAACTGGCCCTTTGCTGCTTGGTTGTTTGGTCTCTGCACTAATTTGTTAATTTTGAAGTTGTGGCAGCAGTTTCCTCTTCCTGCATCTTTTTGTAAGATCCTATTCAACTTGGCTTGGAGTTTGAGCATTTAAATTTGTCCATGCACCCTTTAACAGTGTTCTGAACAGTTATGTTGTCTATACCTTTCAATGATAAGATGCAAGGGATACACGAGTTGTCATAGTGTGCTATTCTGAGTGAAGCTATGAAGCAGGTAATTCTTTCTTGTCAAATTCATATGCAGAAGGCAATGCATAGGTGCTTTATGCTTCATTATAGGCCAGAAAATTAAATGATCCTTTTGAATGTATCTTACCAATAATGGATTTGAACTGTAGGAACTCCAGCGCTCCAAATCAGGTTCATGTAAGCAAAAAACAAAAGGTTAGCCCATCTTTTGATTTTGTATACCATTTTATGCTCCCTTTTTTTTTTTGTTTTTTTGCTTTTTTACATGAGTAATATGAGAAACTATTTAATTCAAGAGAGAGGTAGCTTCCTTCTAGTTTTCTATCAAAATAATGTTTATTGAAGTTTTCATTTTTGTTCGTTCCATTTTATGGGGCGTACTAGCCTTTTGGTATGTCACAAGGATTTTGACTTAGCTTACCAGTTCTCTTACCCTCTTTCTAGTCTCTCTCTCTTTTCTTAACTACATGACCAAACTTTGTTGAATTTTATGTTACGCACTTCCTACTTTGGGGCATCAAAAAGTTTTTGACACAGCTTGACTTCTCTTATTCTCTTTCTGATTTGCTGTCTTTTCTTTACTTAATTTGTGATTAATCATTATGAAGGAAGAAACATTTGAAGCTTTTTGCTCGTCTCTGCGCCCCAATCTCGTTAATACTGATGCTTATGTTATTTGTGAAGGTAATAGGTTTATGAGGTATTAAAAAGTTGCACTTAAGAAACTCACAAGATGGTAGTTATTGAAAGTGTTAGTCATAATTCAAAGTACTCAGTTATTTATCTTACTTTTCACAGTTGCATGGTTGTTTGAGCAGGAACAGTTGTGGCTGAGGCATCTCAAAATAAAATGGAAAAGCAAACTAAAATTGACAAAGGCGAGAATATCAAATCCCTTTCATCTGTAAGTTTGTCTTGTCTTCTTTTTCGTCTGGTAAAATCAAGGGGAAAATGAACACATTCTTCCTTCATTGCAATATCACCACCCAACTGTGAGTGCTCAGGGAGTCTAAATTGTTGAAGGTTTATAGTAATGTTTGGAATTCATACTGACACTTCTGAAGAAAAGCAAAGTAATGCAGTCCTCAAGAAATGCATTAGAATGGAAATCTGTGCTTTGTTTTATTTACTCCGTAGCTTCTTGAGCTTTTTATGGTCTGAGCCTCTTAATGGGCCTGTTTGATTGGATCATTATCTATATGTTTTAATTCATGTGCATCTGCAATTTTGTGTATCAGGTAAAATCAAATTTGGAAAAGCTAAATACCAAGTTAATGACAAAAAAGTCGAAGGAAATAAATTTGGATTCAGTCAGGAGCAAAGAAGAGAAAAGCCGGAAAAGGAAAAAAGAAGATGAGCAGAAGAAACCCAAGTCAAATAGCATAATTTCTGTGATTACAGGCTCCTTCCCTTCTTCATTTGCATTTTCTCATGTTTGACTTGTTGAGCTTTTCATTTTCTTCTTTGCATTTGTATGATAAATGCAGCCAACTCCAGAAGCAAAGCGCAGAAAAGAGATCAAATTGGAGCCAGTGAAGAACTCTGTGAGTAATTTGCAATTCTAGGTTCCATTTAAGGATGAATCTTAATTGTCTTCCTATCATATTGTTGAAACAATTTTGGGATCTTAGGGGAATATCTCCCTAGTACAATTACTATCAAAAAGTAAGAGTGCAGAAAGCAGAAAACCAAAGCCTAATATAAAGCCCAAGAAACCAAAAGCCACTTCAGTATCTGTGAGTAAACATCTTTTCTGGTCTTACATACCTTAATTTCCTCTTTGCAAGGCTTGCATTTTTGTTCTGGGGTTTTTGGTTTCCTTTAATTGAACATTATATCAGGTAAAAACCTCAAAAAAGAAGCCTTCAAATGGTACTGCTGCACAGAATTCAGTTAAAAAGGGCAAGACGACTTCAAAGTCTGAGCAAGGAAAGGAGGAGGAGGAAACGGAAAGTGGTAGTCATGAAAAACTTAAACCAAAGAGCCCAAATTCTGTGAGCAGATTACAATTCATACTTGCACTTTCGTACTGGATCTTGTTTTTGTGCTTCATGAGACAAAATTTATAGTTTTAGGATTATTTTCGTTCAGAATGCAGAGGCCAGGGAAAAAAATCATGATTCACTTTCAGTGAGAGCCGAACCATCAAGAAGTAAAGATCAGACACAGAATGCAACCCTAAAGACACCCAGGCTGAGTTCTGTGAGCGTGTGCTAGTCCTTGTTGTCTCTAGTTATTTTTTAACTCATTGTTTTTCTTTTTCTCATCAAATAGTTTGTATCTTGTTGAATCATGCACATTCTTTTAAGATTCATCAAACACAGATGGAAGCGGGGAAGCAGAAGAATGCAAAAGCAACTAAACATGAAGTTGTGGGTCAATTTTATCTTTGCTTTCTTTTGAGCATTCTGCATCCTTCATCTCCTGGGCAGCATTTGTTGACTTAGCTTTTTATTATGCTACTAGCAGTTGCCATCCTTGGTAGAAAAATCTAGAGATCCGAGTTTACGCAGACTGAAAATAATGCGAGCTCTTGGTTTGATCCCTCCTGCTGCATCTCCATTCATGAGAACTGGTGCAGGGGTCTGAACAGACTTCTGCTTTAATAACTATGCGCGGGTTTTGCAACTGGGAGGATAAAATAACGACATTTTGGTCCATTGTCATGGTGCTTTATTCAGCAATATAGCTGAAATTGTCTATTCGGCATTTCTTACTGACAAAGGGGTGGTGGAAGTTATGTAGCTTATGCCTAAATTTTGGGGATTTTGCAGAGTGGCTAGAGAAATTTCACCTTGTAAACTAGTCAGCAACTGCAACAAGACATCTGTATTGATGGTCTTATTGTTAATTGAGAAACTAAAACTCAACGTGACATTTTTCTGCAGGCTGACTCGTAAACTTGTCAATGTGGAACTCTTATATTTGTGTTGTAACCTAAAACTGTGTACATTGCAAAGATGCTTATCAGAGCACGACGCATATGCTGGAAGAAGCATGTGAAGCTGTACCTTTTTCTTTTGAACATGTCCAGAGGATGTGATTGAGCTACTGATAATTTGGACGGTATGCTTCTTTCTTTTTTTTTGTGAAAGGAATATGAAATTATACCCTTCCCCACCTTTTTTTTTGGTTGTGTATCTTGAATATCTGAATCGTTCAGAGAATGTGATTGGTCTACGCTGATCATTCAGCTGGTATGCTTTGTTTTTATGTGGCTGCATGAAAATGTGCTGCAGGAGGTGCCAAATTCTCTTGCTGAGCCAATGTCCCACTGAATAGTAACAATGAATGCCTTTTTTGATATGGGAAGAGAAAAGTGTTGAAGCTAGTAATGTCGCGTGCAGTTTTTTTTTTTTTCCACCTCTGCTTTGTTAAAATCCTTAATCTTTTTTTTTTCTTTTTGTTTTCAAAGCTTTCTTCAAATTTGACAATGAAGCGCAGTCTAGGTGATAAGACGTTTCATCTATAACCGATAGATCACGAGTTCAAAATGTCGAAAGGCATAAGTAGACAATCACTATTGATTCTCTTAAAAAAAGTTTAATAAGAAAACGTTCTTCAAATTTTCATCAAAAGAGACTAAGATAAAGTGATTGCGGGTCTCAAGATGTTAATTGGCCCCAAATGTTGCAAACTATACTACCATTTTTCCTAACACTTTAGGGACTAAAAAGTAACTCGAATAAGTACAGCAAAAGAGGAGCAGCATGGAAAAATATTCACACGTCGTACAATGCTATTACAATGCTACTATGCTCATGAAGGAGTTACAGTTTTCTTGAATCTTGTTGGCTATAGTTTAGGAAGAGGCTGTTAAGCACCATTCCATTCTCGACCTTTCATCTAGTCAAGAGAATAAGGGCTCGGTCAACAGTCATCACAACCAAACGATGACGAAAGCGAAACAGAGAAGAAGAAAGAAAAAAAAAAAAAAAAAAAAAAAAAGGTGATGATGCCTGTTTTCCTGCTGGGAGAGAAGAGACGAAGCAACTGATGGGAGAGAAGAGACGAAGCAAACTATGGATACCAATTTTTGACTGCTACTTAGTATCGGCAATAGGTCTGAAAAAGTATCTAAAAATATCAAATTTAGATATTTGTACCCTGTCGAAGTAAGGAACCATGGCATATATGTTTGGAATAGACTTAGAAAATTAGTTCATACTACAGGAGCACATTGTATACGAATAAGGAAATTATAATGCTTCCTTCATTGCAAAGCACTAATTGCCTTAACAGAGAAAACTAAAAGGGAGGTGGGCTGGGGGTGGTGGGACCGACAAAAAATATATTTGCTACAGGCTAATACCGAAGTCTTAACTCTCAATAGCAGGAAGTACTGGCTTACATTCTGGAAATGGAGCATGATTCCAATTTAGAAAAGCAACGCACTAACTAAAAATGTTAATACATGTTTGTTGATTTTTGAATCAATTGTTTATTTACAAAGGCTGACATCACGTGTAGTTACTTCCACATTGTACTCTGTCTGCCAACATCTAAAAACATGACATAAACTACACATCCAGGAAGCAAGCTAAAGCTGAGAACTCCCTTAGTGGAAACAGGTTCTCGATAAATCGTTAATAGAACCTACTTGCTACCTTTAAGGTTCATCCAATGTAAGATTCCATCTAGAGTCTGTAGTTAAATAGGACAAAAATCTTGCCAGTATAAAGAAACTTTTGTTAGTGCCTGTTACTTCAGTACCATTAAAATGACTTGTTTATGTACTTGCAATTCTACTACTTGGATCTTGAATGCCTTCTTGTCCCTCGCAGACTCTTATCTTTCAATCAAAAAAGTACATGTTGTCTTGTGGCTCAAAGATTCCCATTTACCATTATTTCAGAGCTTATGCAAAATATGAGCAACATTACCACACTTAACAACTTGCTATCCATACAAAAGTAACACGAGTCAATGAGATAGCACCAGGGCACCACTAGAGCCTAATACTCATAATTTCACTATTTAAGTTTGGTGTTCCATCTTCTGGTAAAAATCTGTAGTAAAAGAAGAAGCCAAATGGAATAGTGAAAAAACTGTAGTACCTGAAGGACCTCTTTTTCACGTGATGCTTTCCATAACCTGAATTGCTCAGATTCTTGCTTTATCTTTTGTTGCAATTGAACCTTTTAGACAATAGAATGCCATTAGAAGAAGCAAGGGATTCTCTATATCTAAACAAGTATCAAATACCAAGACCCTGTACCTTCTGTGTTTTTATCCTCTGTATCTCATCCTGTAGTCGTTTTGCAGCCTCATCGCTCTTTTGCTTTTGTCTCAAAAGCTGGGCTTGAGCATCTTGCTTCTTCTTCAACTCGACAACCTGCAGAGGCCGAAATTATTATCCAGACATAAAGTTTGGTGGGGGAAAAAACAGTTGAAGGAATACCTGAGCTTCAAGGACATTTAACTTTTGAAGATAATCTTCCTTCAGCTTCTGAGCACTATCATCAGTAGTAGATGATATATTTGCAAGATTATGTCTAAGTTCCTCGATCTCTTTCTGCAATGGAAAATTAGCTCAGAAACAAAGAAATTATCAACTAAAATCATCATACTCAAAGACATACCTGCAGGATCTCTTTTCGAGTTCTAACTCCTGAATTTTTTTATCATAATGTTGCTTAAGAGTTGAGGTATCAGGATTTGCAAACCGCTTCATCTCAGCCTATAAACAGATATAATAGGTCAAGGTGAAATCAGAAGTTACAAGGTAACAATTGCTTCTAGATTTAAGCCAACCAATATAATTACTTGAAGAGATACCACATACCTCCTTCTGTTCAAGTCTTTTGTCCAATTCTTTGAGCTCCATGTCCAATTTTTCTTGAAGAGAAGAATGTTCTCGCTCTTTCTGCTCATCCTCAAACACACCTAACAAATATGAAAGAACATTATTCTACCAGCAACTTGAAATCAACTTGGTCAAATTCCAAACATAAATCACGACCATTCAGGTACAAGTTGTTGCAACATAATCCTCTTGTCAAGCAGAGTCAATGATAATGCGCAACATAAAATACTAGAAAGCCACAACAAGAAACATCCACCGCATAGCAGCCACCTGAACAAACACAGAAACAAGAGTGTACATAATTATCATGGAACAGCTTATGGTAGCTCACCACTTAAATTATCAGCTTTTGTTTCGGACTCTGCAAAACAGTTATCTTTTGAATGAAGCCCGCTATCATCCAAACTAACGTAGTCAACAAAATCATTCTGCCTTAAATGGTTAGCACTTTGGAGCCGCAATAATTCTCCTTCCAATTCTTGTATCTTGGATACATATCCTTTTAACAAATCAAAATCCTGTAGGAAATTTGAAAATTTATATTAGCCAAGTTTCCCAAACTACATGGCAAATTGATCAGGAATCCTATCTACCTGATTAGAATCAGAATCTATTTCATTCCACGATTTTTGACTTCGAGCTGATTCAATCTTCATGACAAGCCTATCCTCTCCACCTAATACATTATTTTGATGTAAGCGGCTTCAAAAATGCATCTAACTTGGATGCCGTAAATAGATCATTTTAACATTGGCAATTACACAAATAAAACTACCTGAGCATCTAGGGCTCGTTGTGTCAAATGATCACAAGTAATTCGACGTTCTTGAAGCTCCTGCTGTAGTTGTGCATTGCTTGCTTCAAGCAAAGAAATTTTATGCTTAAGAATCTGTAGGGCAGAAGGAACAAGTCAATTTCTAACCGAGACACACTTATGGACAGAGGTTATTAATTAAAAGGATAATACAGCCTCTTGTATTAGCTAAGAAGTAACCACCTCAAATCTATATGCACAACCCAACACAATGATAATCATTTTAATCATCCTCCCAATCACAGCAACTAAGAAACTGACAGACTGACACTTATGAGGAAAAATGAAACCTGAAGTTCCTCAAAAGGAACAGTGCAGTCTCCACGAAAGAAAAGAAGCTCAGCTTGCAACTGTTCAATTGATTTTTCATTCTTTGCATCTGAGTTGCCATGGATCACGGTTGATCTAGAAATTAAAAGTAGGTGAGTATACTGATTGAATTAAAAAAAATATGATTTTTCTTAACAATATTAAACTTACAATTGCTTTATTTTGAATATTACGAGCACGATTTGCATACTTCAGAGTGTTTAGTGTCTCCTCTGCATTTGTATCTGCTGGACTGATGCAAGCTACCACATAAATGCAAAAGATAGAAGAGTTAAGTGACATTAATTAAAGAAATGATGAAATGCCCAGCAAAATCATATAATAAAACAGCATATCATGTTCCTGAGGACAGATATAAAGCATCTTGGCAAACGAAATTAAAAGTTTACCAATCATTACTGTTTTGCTGTTCCCTCCAAGAGAATCCTGAAACAGAATATTCCCAAGGTTAGCAATGGTAGATTTGCTTAAATTACATATAACATCAAGGACACGCAAGGAAAATCAAGCTGGCCAGACAGGACAACCACAAATATAGTGAATCATGTTAAAAAAATGAAAGCACAATCAGGATTAGTTAGGACACATGGTATTTATGGAGGCATGCAATGCAATCCTTATGAGAGAAAATTGTCAATAGAACTGAGCATCAATAGGAGCCACCACTCTAGAAAAGTTCAAACAATATAAACAACTTACAGAGAACAAAAACCAGAAAGATCATGTCTTCTGATTGGAAAGGAAAAAGGAAAATGAGAATGAAGATTCAAGAACAGATTACTACTTTGAAATAAGCTGATTTTTATGTTTGCATTCAATACGCGTAGAGTTCATTCTGATATGTACTTTTACTTGTTAACTGCATGGTCCTAACACAATGCCATATAAAGCAATAGAAAAAATTTTGTTCGTAAGAAAGATTATGACTAAGGTTGAAAAGTAGACGGAAATGTAAGAAATACTAACATATGAACACCATATTATAATATATGGTTGTTTAGAAACTTGGGAAGGATGAATAAGGAAGCAAAGAAAGAAACATCTCTTGCCTGCAACAGCCGAGTTAATTTGCTATCTCGATAAGGAACATGACCACCTTCTTTCCGTTTCTTGTCATCACCCAAAGCACTAA